GCGGGCGCTGCCCGCTTCCCCAGGGCACCCCGTTCTCCTCGGGGGGAGCTGCAAGCCCGGCGCTGGCTGACCCGCGGCAGGTAGGCGCAGCGCTCGGCCCAGGGCCTGACGGACCGTGGGCTGGGAGCGATGGCCGGGCGGTTCTTTCGGCTTCCCTCTCGCCCCTCCGTGGTACGCTGTGGCGGTTGGGGGCTGTGATGTGATAGAACTGGGCAGGGACCGGATCGCTGTCGGGACCGCTTGACACAGGGGGCTGTGGAGAGACTCGCTGGACCGGGGCTGTGGGGTGGGACAGGCCCCGCCTGCCCCAGACCCTGTCAGGGTGCCTGGCGTGCGTGTCCTGTTACATTCCCGGGAGGGGAAGAGCTTTCCAGACAGGCCACTCGTTTGGCTCTGCTGTGGACCCTCGGGGAAGGAAGGGCAAGATCCTGCTCTGAGCCACAGAAAGAGCCCACCTGGGTGCTGATGTCCCAGGGTGTGACGGGGTCACTCGGGATCTCAGTCTTGGCTTTTCCTTACAGCAGCATGCTTGTCCAGACCTTTGATTCAGAGCGCTCAGGCTGCAAAGGTTGGAGAAATTCTGAGCTGATCTTCCCTTCTGCTTTTTTGTCTTCTCTTTTTAAACAAAGCTTCCCGGAAAAGTGACCTTAAGGACAATCTTTGGGTTGACCCAGCACTGAGGGATATGATGGAGTTGAGAACAGCCAGTGTTAGGTTAATGGTTGGACTGAATGATCTTCAAGGTCTTTTCTAACCAAGATGATTCTGCGATTCTGTGGTTCTGTGAATGTTCACGCAGTCCTTACGCCATAGCAATGTACACATGTATGCTTAATTATGAATAGCAACTCAATATGGAGGAGGGAGGCGTGTGAAAGGTATATCCCAGCACACTGACTGCCTGTTATGTTTTGCTCAAATGGATAAAACTGCCTAAAAGAAGGGGACTTGATTCTTGCTGACTTTCTGTCTTTGGGTAACAGGGTAAAGAATGGGGACTCATATTTGCTTGACAAACATCTGGGTCCCGTTTTCACTGTTGTACTGTTAAAAGTCAAATTATTTTCTTGTGCTGCTCTTCATGCCCAGCTGTCAGCATTTTCTGAGCCAGGGCGGTGGAAGTCAGTGCAGTTGTTTCATTTCCCTTTTTAAGATTCCTTGTGCTGCAGTGTTTGCTTTTCAGATGCAGAACAGGGATCTGCGCTTATATGAACACCAACATTTTCTATTGTTTTTTCTTGGAAGAAATGTCATGTCCACGATTTCCTCTACTCCCCCAGCCATTTCTGGGCAGCCTGGGATCACAAGGTTGTGGTTTGGCCCAACAGAGACCCTTTAAGGTCCCAATCCTGCAATCCAAGCTAAAACAATGAGCTCTGCAGGATAAGTGGGAGCGAAGAGGCAGAGAAAGGTATGTGGGAAATGAGAGAGATGATCTTAAGCAGTATATTGGGAGGAATAAACCATGAGGGGGGAAGGCTGGCAGCTGAGGAGGCTGCTGCTGTGGTAGAAGGCTTGGACCAGGACTCTGAATGCACAGTCCTCTGTGCCACCGATTTTCCGTGTAACCTCTCAGAGATCAGCTTAATGGCCCTGTTGTCTAAAATGGGAATAATAATATTTTTTTGCTGTCTTGAGAAGACTTGCAAAGGTCTCTAGGTGCCTGGCTCCTCTCACCTTGGGTCCCCACAGGTTGCAGAAGCAGTCACCTGAAAGTGGGATGAGAGGGGTGAAAGGGAAGCAAAGTACATTGGAAACAGGTGATGACAGAAGGGTGAAGAGTAGGAGGGCAGAAAGGAAAAGAAGTCTGATGAAGCTTCAAAAGCTATGAAAGCAGCTGTTAAAACAGCTATACCTTGCATGGTGTTTAACGCTAATTTTTAATACTGAGGTTGCCTCTGGATGGTTGTGCCTGCAAGGGAGAGGTGCCTGCTAGAGCAGCAGTCTCTCTGTCAGGCTGCTGTTTGCTCAGTTGAGAAGTGTTTGCCTTTGGCAGGCATGCAGACCTGGCTCTCTCAGGGAGGGCTGGTCCCGTGTGTGGGGCAGGAGGGAAGCCCTCTCTCCACCCTACCTGCTACACAGAAAAGCAGAGGCCTCCTCCCCAGCACCCAGAAGCTGGTGAGCTGTGCTCCCCTATGGAACAGGGGGCATGTTCTGCAAGTCTGGTGGGAGGGAAGGTTGGGGTGCTGCCTGGTGCTGTTAGCAGAATGTGAGAAACAGCGGGAAGGGAGGAAAAGCCCAGGGGACTTGCAATGGGGGACAGGTGCTCAGCATCCTCCTCTCAATTTTCTGAGCTGGGGCAGATCCAGGTAGTTGGGGAGTGAACTTCTGCCTTCCTGGTCTTATTTCCTGCTCCCCATGAGGAACTTCTTGGTGGCTACCTGAGCCAGAAGAGCCAGTGGCCTGTCAGCTTTGGCACCACAGGACTGCAGGATTGGATTTTGCTTGGTCAAGCCAATGGAGGTGGCCACAGCTTTGTCAGGGAGAGCTTCTCCAGCGTGGTCTTGGCCCAGCTGAATGCTTCTGTGATTTAATGTGGTCTCTTGCATGACAGAAAAGTCTGTCTTTGAAAATACTTCAAAAGGCAGCAAAAGTTTTAAGCCCTCCAGATGTGATGGCGAGACTGCTCACGGCAGGCTTGCAGGCTTGGCCCCTGTTTAACAGGAGAAGGCTGTTCCATGGTCCCGTCTGTTGTGTTGGTCTGCATGAAGTGAAATGCTGTATGATACCTTCCTCCTGTGGCTCTCCTGAGCACCCTGTAAACAGCAATATATGATTGCAGCAGCCTGGAGGACTGTTAAATTAACCAGTCAATTCCTGCAGAAGAAGGAATGCTGGCGAGGCAGTGATGAACACCACAGAAATGCCTATGTACGATTGCTTACCTTGTAATCGTCTCAGGGCAAATGATTTCCACAGGTCTAAACAAAGCTAAAAGTTTGACATGGTAGTTTGTACCCCTGACAATCTCCATACCAGAAAGGGCAACCTTAGAGTGATGACAAAAGCCAAGTTGTGAGTACTGAATGTCCATTCCTTATAGCCTGTCATCTGGCCCAAAATCTCATTGCTGCTTCTCTGGGGCTTTGGTGGTTAATAAGAGGGGAAAGGGACCTCAGTTTGACACGTAAGTAGTGGAGGAGGCTTAAGTCCTCAGGCTGAAGAGGTTGGTGAGGGAAAAATGTTCTGAGAAAGCTCAGTGTGTTATGCCACACTCTCTAAAAGCTTACAGGCCTTGCGTGTTTTCCCCATGGCTGACAAGTGCAGACTGCTCGGTATTTATGCTTCTGCTGGTGGTTCCCACTGGTGTAACCAAAGGAAATGCTGCTTTGGGGGCAGCACACATCTCTTCAAAACTGTAGAGCTGCAAAGTGCAGCGAAAAAAGGAGCTTGTACTTCCAAACAGTGAATTAAAGAAGGGTAGAATGGACAAGAGAGGTGAAAGGCAATGTGAATGGGTGGGGAAAGCCCTGCTTACACTGCATGGGAAGCTCTGTAGCTTGAGTGTATCTTTTGTGTTTGTTGGGGAAAAAAACGGGCAGGGTAGCAAAGGGAGGGAAACCTGGAACTGTTCTGGCCTTCCAGAGCAGGCACTCTCCCATCCATAACCGATAGGAGACAATATAACCAGGAATAACTGCTCTGCAAAGTCTGCTCCTTTGGGCTTAGTCTATCTTTCCTTACCTTCAAAGCTATCTGTAAGTCAACATGACATATCAGCCTCTTTCTTTGCCAGGTTTCACCTCCCTGTTGCCTGTTCTTTGCCACTCCCAACACTTACATTGTTTTCCTGATAATGGGACAAACCTTTTGGACAGGCTTCCTACCCCCTTCCATTGTAATGTTTTGCTTGGCTTTGCTGCTTACGCACATTGGAAATGCTTGAAGACATTCATGGTTTTGGAACTGAGGAGCAAATAAAACACCTCTGCAGACCTCTATCAATCTATTAATACATTGTCACTGTACCTTATGGGAGGCAAACCACCCGTTATGCTCGTTGCTGGTTCAGGCCGTGGTCATTAGTTTGGAGTGGTTAAGGTGGAGGATGATCACTGGACAGCCTGTCTGTGCACTGCCTCAGACCTTCTGGGGTTTGCCAGAACATCAGCCTGTGTTTGTGTATTGCTTGCAGAGCAAGGAGACGGTTTCCGAGACTCTTTCCTCACAGCATAGCTGAAGCAGGGAGAGCTTTGCTGTCTTTTATTTTATGAGGAGAAAAACAGCCCTCCTAATTCTCCAGCAACTCTTCATTTCGGGGGTTGGCTGGGACTTGGGGGTAAGTGTCATTTTCACGAGCATCCCAGACCAAAGGGTTGGCTAATTGTGCAAGGGGAAAATACGCCCTTGTGGCAATGGTGTGGGACTCTGGGGCTGGGTCTGTGATGAGACTCTGCTAGAGACTTCCCTTGCGTCTCAGGAGAGGTCTGGCTGAAGTGGCCTCAGTCTTGAGCGCCTCTGCTCTTGGAGAGATGGTAACCCGTCTGTTCTGGGGTGTGGCCAGGCCAATGCTCTCGCTCGGGGCTCATTGCCACCTGGCTCGAGCAGCTTCTGAGGTTGAGAGGAGCCGGGAGGGCTAAATCTTGCAGTGGGTGCTCCCAAGCAGAATGGGGTCCTCTGGGCAAACAAACACTTAACACCTGCAAAATGCTCACTGCAAGTGTTGCTCTTACCACCTGGGAGCAGCCAGGGCTTTCACTGCCCACTGACCCAGCTCTTTCTCTCTGAACTGGATGTGTACCTTCTGCCTGACCCCGCTCCTGCCTCTGCTTCCCTTGCCTACTGCCCTGCGTGGAATACGAGTGGGATCTCATGGAAGTCACTGCGGGCCAATGTAGGTGCACAGGTGCACAGCTGGTGCAGGGTCTGGAGCACAGGTCTGCTGGGGAGCAGCTGAGGGAACTGGGGGGGGGTTGTCTGGAGAAGAGGAGGCTGAGGGGAGACCTCATCGCCCTCTACAGCTCCCTGACAGGAGGGTGCAGAGAGGGGGGATGAGTCTCTCAAGCCAAGGACCCAGTGCCAGGCCCAGAGGGAATGGCCTCAAGCTGCCCAGGGCAGGGTCAGGCTGGCTCTGAGGAAGGATTTCTTTGCAGAAGGGGCTGTTGGGCGTTGGAATGGGCTGCCCAGGGCATGGGGGGAGTCCCCATCCCTGGAGGGGTTGAAGAGTCGGGTTGACCCAGCACTGAGGGATCTGGGGGAGTTGGGAACCGTCAGGGTGAGGTTCATGGTTGGACTGGAGGAGCTTCAAGGTCTTTTCCAACTGAGATAATTCTGGGATTCTGTTCTGTCAAAGCCCACAAAATACCTCTTTTGTCCTAATGTGTCAAATTACATTAGTTTTTCTTTTATACGATCCAGGAACCTGGTCTTGAAGCAGGACGTGCCTCGTTTGTACAACGCCAAATGTGAGAAAGGCAGACACAGTCCAGAAGAGTTGACAGTTGACGTCTCTCGCTGTAACACAGCAGCGCAACACCGGTTCCTAAATGGCCTGTAAGTACTCATGTACAATTGAGGGTGAAGGCTGTGCAGCAGCAGGAAGCAGCATACCAAGGGCACCCTTTGAAGGACAGTAGGGTGCAGAGGGGTGATGCTGGCCTTGGGACCCAGTGGTGCTGCAGGAGTATCTCTGGGTAGGACACGCTGTCTGTTGCATGATCTTACCAAGGCACTCAGAAAAGGCTGAATATATATATATATTTTTCCCCTATATATATATATTCATATCTATATGTGTTTTTGCAGAACTGATAACAAATTAACTTTATACAATCCCAGGAGACAGCTTCCTGGGGAAACTTGGAGGGATAGTGTGGGCAAGCAGATACTAATACTAATTTCTGTCCCCATTTTTTGGTGACTAGAAGGTTTCATTTCTTTGGTGCGCTTCATCCATTTCTGTTAGGTTTGTGCTGGCCAGAGCATTTCGTTAGCATGCTGAATGCATTTACAGGGTGAAAGGAGACAAGAAACATGTACAGATGTTTCTGTGGATGAAAGCATTGACTCTCTGTATTGTTGTAGGATTACTGAAGCATCTCCCACTTCCCCCACATGCAACCTGGAGATATCTTTACCTTTTCCTATTCCTCTCTTATATACATAAATGAAAATGGCATTTCTGCACACCCTTGAGATGGTAGGTGGGTATCTGGAGCAAGAAGAACATCATAGCCTGCTGAGGAAGGGGATGGCTTCTTTTCCTCTTACCCCACTATTTTGTTATGTATTTACAAATCTCTGGCATGCCTTATCTCTCTCATTGTGCACTCAGGCTGGGAACCTTGAGATAAGCCTGAAACACTCTGCTTTGTTATGGTGGCCTTTGTGACTTGCAGGTGGCAGGTTATGTAATGTGCTGGTTTGTATCTGCTCAGTTACAGTGATTAGGTATCAAGTGACTGTGGTTAGTTTTTCTTCTAAAAGTGACGGAGAGCTATAGTGGGTTTCCCTAAAAGACAAATTGTGCTTTGTTTCTCCTTTAGTGTTGCTGACTGGCAACTATTCTATATGGATTGCCATATGTTTTGAATGGTCTCCTCCTCCTCCCAGTGCTTCTGGCTCAGTACCTACTATCTGACATGACTCGATGGCCTGGTGCTATGAAACGCAGGAGCATTGCTCTGGCTTATTATGCAGCTTGTGTATGGGCCCTTGAAATGCATCTGCATGCTCCAGTCTTAAAAAAGATGTACAACTCTGTTAACATGCTACGATTTTCCTTCCTTGCATTCATGTTCTCTGGCAAAAGCAACTTCAGGAAGAGCCTGTAACTTTGTTTGGCAGATGAAATTAAGACGGCCACATTAAATAAACCTTGAGCAAGCAGCAGTATATATTACAGCAGTCTGCTTTAATTGAAGTGTGTACATTAGAGGAATGGGAGCTTAATTCGTTGAGAGGGTATAGTGGGGCAATGGTAATAAGAGCAGAGCAAACAGCTGACAGTCTGAGTAGATTAGACATAAAAATGGGTATAGAGATAAGGGAGTAAGCCTGCATTGGGAGAATTCTCGAGACACACCCTGTGGCAGCGCTACTGTGAAACCCTTTGCAGTTCTGCACCCTGAGCCGTGGTAGCTGGAGGCAGGAACACACCTTGACAGGGTTTTTGCGGTGCTGGTGTGAGACCGTGAGTCAAGAGGGACTGGAAAACCACAGCGTGTGCTTTTGGAAAGGTGGGCTGACTCCAGCTGGGGTCAGCTGCAAAGCTGAAAACATGTTACTGGCCTTGTGAATCCATTGCAGTGTGAGGGCTTTCTGTTGCTGAAGGCCTTCCTGTGCAAGCCTTAAAAACGGAAGGCAAACAGGTGTGTGCAGTTATCAACTGCCTTGTGAATGCAGCGTGTTTATTTGGGAAAACAAGGGCCAGCGGAGATGGCTGGTGTTGCCAGATGGAGTTGACTGCTCAGATTTGGCATCACTGGTCATGGCAGTTATACAGAACAGAGCTGTGGAGAGGAAGGTTGGCTTTATGTCATCCCTGTGGAGCAATTAGCTGTCAAATAAATCGTTTCTACATTTCCCACAGAGAATTTAGGTTATTGTTCCTATCACTCTTGGCATTTTATTTTGGATAAACTGCTGGGGAGGCTGTCCTTTGGGTTCCTCATTCTCTTGTTCTGGCTGCTGCTGAAGTCGTAGTGTGCACAGAACTTTCCCAGCTTGAAGGCACAAGCGCTGGGGCTATCCCTGCAGAGGACAGGCTAACCTAAAGGCAGCTGCTGAGAGTGGTATCTGCTGAACACTAGTGCAAAACTAGGCAGGCTTGCACATGTTTGGGGTTTCTCCTTTGGAAGGAAGTGAGGTACATGTAATTTTGTTCCTGGCACCCAAATAACACAGCAGGCAGTAAATGAGGAATGTGCAGGAGCTGAGTCCTGGTTTTAAACCATCCTCTGCACACATGGGGCTGTTGAAACATCTTCAAGCACGTGTGGGATGTGCCAATGAACAGCATTAAAAGGTGTTGCCAAATGGGGACATTGAAGAAAGGGACCCTTCTTTCCTGCTTTTGATATTTCGTGTGTCACAGGTGGCTCACTCTTCCTGTGTGGGCTGGCAGGGGCCACCAAGGCTGCTGGTCCAGCCATTGCCCTCCTGCTCTCATTCCAAAGGTGTACTAGAGAGTGCTTGCTCCTGCTGTCCCACACCCATGCCTCAGTGTGGAGCCTGTCAGAGGAAGATGCACAGTGGCAACATCCTTTCCTGGTCAATTCTTGCTGCCTGCCCTGAGAGGCAAGCTGACACAGAGCTTGGCACCCTGTGTGGCTGGCCAGTCTGATGTGGGATGCTTACAGAATCCCAGAATCATCTTGGTTGGAAAAGACCTTTGAAGCTCCTCCAGTCCAACCATTAACCTCACCCTGACCGTTCCCAACTCCACCAGATCCCTCAGCGCTGGGTCAACCCAACTCTTCAACCCCTCCAGGGATGGGGACTCCCCCCCTGCCCTGGGCAGCTCATCCCAACGCCCAACAGCCCCTTCTGCAAAGAAATACTTCCTAAGAGCCAGCCTGACCCTGCCCTGGTGCAGCTTGAGGCCATTCCCTCTGGGCCTGGCGCTGGTTCCTTGGCTCAAGAGACTCATCCCCCCTCTCTGCACCCTCCTGGCAGGGAGCTGTAGAGGGCGATGAGGTCTCCCTTCAGCCTCCTCTTCTCCAGACAAACCCCCTCCAGTTCCCTCAGCTGCTCCTCGCAGAACTTGTTCTCTAGACCCTTCACCAGCTTCACTGCCCTTCTCTTTACACACTCCAGCATCTCAATGTCTTTCCTGCAGTGAGGGGCCCCAAACTGAACCCAGTCATCGAGGTGCGGCCTCACCAGTGCCGAGTACAGGGGTGAGATCCCTTCCCTGTCCCTGCTGGCCACGCTATGGCTGACACAAGCCAGGATGCCATTGGCCTTCTTGGCCCCCTGGGCACACTGCTGGCTCCTGTTCAGCTGGCTGGCAACCAACTCCCCCAGGTCCCTCTCTGACTGGCAGCTTTGCTTTCCAAAATGTCCAGCCCTGGCTGCACTTTGCTCTGGTGAAGACCTGACCCCGTGCAGGTTGTTGTACTCTGTGGGAGCATTGTCCTTCCTCCTCACTGTGAACCCAGCCAGCTGCGATGAGAGGTGTATGGGAGGTATGTTCTCTAGGTGTTTCTTTTTAGCCAGCTGAAGTGAACAAGTTCCTCTGAACAATGGGCCTATCTTCCCATTGGGACACTGTACTCTGTGCTAGTTGTTCATTTAATATGCAGTGATTTTGGATGTCATTTTCTGTTAGTGGTGGATAGAAGGGGACTCTGTTTGGCACAGTAAATATTAAACACAGGGCTGTTTTCCAAGGGAGTGAATCTGTAGCCATGTCACGCTGACTTTGATGAGGCTGGGCACCGGTCCTGCCCCAGCTCTGTTGCAGAGCTCAGCACAGAGAAATGGTTATCGTGACAGCATTTTCATATTTCCCCATCTCATCTGGGCCGGGAGTCCCCACTCCTGTGTGCTGCCTCACTGCTCTGCCTGGGGGAGAAGCCCAGTGCCACCTCCCTCCCTGCATGACAGACGTTGCTGACACAGCTTGCGAAGGCTGCTCTTTCTTGGCTGGGAGACATGCTGGAAGGTGGAGAAGCTGTGGCAACCCCATTAATGAAGACAAGTGTTATGGCTAGTATTGCTTTTATTGTGTAAATGAATTCTTCATACCTTTCCAAAGGGGAAGTGTAAATAATAATATCTGCCAATCTGAAGGAATTGTGTTACCTTAGCTTAGTCCAGCCACCACCAGAGAAAAGAGGAGAGCCGAACACTGTGCAACTACCTTGCAGAGGCCAGGAGGTGACATTACCTGCCTGCTTCCCTTCAACCAGGACAGGAGCAGGTACCTCAGCTACATCAGTGGTTACTTGGGCACTGTGCTGCCAGGGCCTGGCAGGGATAGGCAGCTGCCACCTGGAAGCAGTCCCTGACATTGTCGGTATGGGTCTGCCAGCCCCGGAGCCATGGCCAGCACTGGCTAAGGGATGCTGCTGCTGTGTGTTGGCAAGCTGCAGAAGGAAAAGGCAAGGGCAGGGCTTCATAGAACAGTTGCAACCACTACAGCAGGGGCTGTGCGGCGAGCAGAGCCATCAAAGGCTTGGTGTCTCCTGTGCAGGAGGAATAGAGATGAGATGGGTGGGGAAATCTAGTCCACCCTCATTGATGATTTCTTATGAAATACACCATGCTAAAGATCTGTATATGTGCTGGAGCTGACTGACTTTTAAATTGACATACTTAATACTTAATGTTGCTTCATGCTCTCTGTCTGTAGTTCTCTCTGCTCCCAGGTCAGGAAAGAGACCTTATCTGATTGCTTTTCTGTCTTTTAAGGTTTGCAGTTCAGCCTCACTCAAGGCTGTCTGTGCAGACAGCACCAAATCAGAGCCTCGTGGTTTTGTGCAAGTGTGGCGTGGCTTGGCGTACCACAAGGGTGTTGTTTTGTACCCCTGCCAGGCGATGTGAAGAGAGGACAGGACAGCTGACCTGCAGAGGCACACGTGAGGCTGCCATGCCTTCTTGCAGGGTCTGGGGAGCCTCACTTCAATTCCTTCAGCCTCTGCCACAGGGTGGGAGTCAGTGGCTGGGGCCTCAAGCAGTGTCTGGACAGTGTTGCCTTTGCACCCCTCTTGTGGGAGGGGTGAGCTGGGGGCTGTCTGTGACACAGTGAGGGTGCTTACTCTGCTCTGTGGATCCTTACAGAGGAGGGAGAGCAGCCCGGAGAGACCATGGCTCCAGTGCTGCAGATGTAATAGGAAGGTCAGGGGAGCTGAGAGGAGGAGGACGACAGTGTGAGTGCTTTCTTCTCTGGAGCAAAGAGAAGAGTCATTGCTTTAAGGATACAGATGAGGCGGCTGAGCTGAAAATGCAAGCAAGCTCTAGTGAAAGGCTGTCCCATCCAAGCTGCCCTGTCCCATGACCCCAGGAAATGCCTGCCCTGCGGCAGGCTGGAGGAGGGAGGAGGAGGAGGAGGCAGAAGAGCAGGGGTGCAGGTGCCACTGCCCTGGTGAAAGTAAGGCAGGTGCTGGAGCTGTGATCCTCGTGTTGTTTGCGCTCTGTGCCTCAGCGGTGCTGGTGCCTGGAGCCACATTTCTGGAGGAGGACAGAGCATGAGGAAATATTTGATCTGTTGTCAACGGATTCATGGGGAGACATAGGACCTGTCTCCAGAGCACAGCAACACGGCAGCGTTTCTGAACTGCACGTGTTACAGGAACAGCCCCAACATCTCAGATGCTCATCCAGCATCATCTTGCCTGGAGGACAAATGCTTCCTTAGGAGGTGGTGCACACAGCAGCCTTACACTCCGTGCAGGATTTCACAGTGCCTACTCGTCAAGAGCTGATCCCGTTTGTAACGCCTCATCCTGACAGTGCTCTGGGTGTGGGCACTTGAGCTTGGCTGCGCTCTGGGTGCGGCCAAATGCTATTTTTAGCTGATTGCTGCGGCCAGGATGGGAGCCGGATGTGTGCTTTGTGGAGATGAGGAGACAGCCTGTGCATCCTTCTCCCTTCATGCTGCAGGCTTTGCTGAGGCAGCATGTGTGGAATTGGTAATGATCCTGGGAAGGAGGCTGCCTTGCTTTGTGCCTATGGGCAGGAGCAGGGAATTAGGGCTGCGGGTCTTGCGGTGTCACCTTGTGCAAAACGTATGAGAAAAGTACTTTGAAAACTGCTCAAATTCTGTAGGTATGTCTGAAGAGTCTTCCCCTGTACAATTCCAGGCTCTTTGTGCCTTGGTTTTTATCCACATTGCGGATGATGCTGCCTGTGTGCAACAGCTTAACCCCTTATGCCGGTGACGACAGTGTGAGAGGTTTACAGTGCCGGCTGCCCAGCCATTAGGAGCTTGATCCTGGGATGCTTCAGCACTTCTGTGTGGATGCTCTTCCTGCTTTCAAAAGAGGGGGGCTGAGGCAGGTGGGTACATCTGCTCTCTTTCTTTTTTGTTTTTACGTTGTTCTTTGTTTCTAGCAGGTATGGATGGGAAGAAATGCAGCGTGTGGATGTTTTTACCTCTTGTGTTTACCCTGTTTACATCAGCTGGATTATGGATAGTGTAAGTTATCTCTTGCTGGTTACTTGGGAGAGCAGGTTAGGCTGGGGAAGTTGGAAGTACTGCTGTGTTGTGGGCTGCATCTTAGTCCAGAGAGTCTTTTGGAGATGTTCTGTCCTTGAGTTACTGTGGGGCTGGGAAGGCACACAGTAGGGGCAGGGGCCAGTCTGTGCCACTTCATGACTTGGAGGATCACATTTTTATCCCTGAGTTTATGTGCTCCCCAGGCCAAGTTTCTGACCTTGCCTTCTTCCTGGCATGGGTTACTGGGAGCTGCCTGAAAAGAGACAGACAAAAATGCAAAAATTCCCTTTCATTACATTCTCTTCGAATGACTCAACAGAGCTCTTGGAGAAGCACTTAGGCCCTGTTTTGGGGTGCAAACTCAAAATCTGCAGCATCCAGCACCACACTGACAACCTGCCAGTGGTTTAATGCTGACACCTCACTTTCTCACTAACTTCTTACCAAAATGTACATGGGACATGCGTTTAGCTGAGCTGGGCTTTCTCCAAGCATGCAGGCAGATGACTGCAGCATGAATGTTTGAGCCATAAATATGCGATCAGCAGCTATGCTCAGCCTGAGAAGCAGTTCTATGGTTTTGACCATGGTCTGTGGATGTTGTTTCTCAGCAGCAGGGGCAGCTTAAGCCCTTTGTCTGACCCCTATTGCTTCTTCTCGTCCTATCCACTCTGTTTGTATTAAACAGTTTTTGCAAAGGTGGGACCATGGTAAACCAGATGAATCAAGTTATTCAGATTAAAAATTAAAACATTCCCCCCGTTGGTTATTTTTAAGGCAGCTCAGTTCACTGACCCTGTCTGTCTACCTGACCATGCCACACAAAGGAAGGCACATAGTTAGGCCAGGAAGTGAGCAAAACTGCCTGCTTGAGCAGAGAGAAATACAGGCTGCATCCAGCAGATCCTGCCAGTGAGCCTGAGGTACTTAATGCATCATTTGAGTGATACTTGGAATTGAAGCCAGGATGAGGTTTTACACTGTTTTCATGTATGTTTGTTTGTTGGTTTGTTTTTTTTTTGACAGGTACTTTATAGCAGTGGAAGATAACAAAATTCTCCCACTAAATGTACCATATAGGTAAGAGCTGGTTGCAGGCTTTACGTTCAATCACTTGTTTCTTTAAAATAATAAAACGGGGAAAGCTAAATGGGAAAGAAACTCTTGAATCTTTATTCCTATGCATTTATGTCTCTTAGGACACCTGGTTCCAAAAGACCACCATATATAAGGTAAGTGAGTGATTTTCTTCCAACTACTGTTCTGATTAATGGTTGTTATTTATGTGTCTTTGCCATCCCAGAGTTACAATGATACACTTTATATTTTCCAAGTATTGCAGGTGATGCACCTCCTGCAAGCTGCGTGTTTAGCCAAGTTATGAACATGGCGGCATTTCTAGGTAGGAAACGTGAGGGGCATGTTTCTTTCTCTCTCTTAATTTGTTTTAAGAACTCACTGAAGCGTAAGTAATATCCCATACATGTTGTTCTTGAATCTGATGGTGTGAAATCATTTAAACTGTGATTGCTGTTGATTAAGACATTATTATTTTGTCTTCATTTGTAGAAAGATGGAACAAAGCTGGATGTGTTTGAACTTTATTGGTTTCTGATTTATTCTCATGTTTTACATTGTCGCATCTTATCCTTGAATCTGTGGGACTGTTTTTCATTGTATGGTGGGATGTATGCTGTAAATGTGAGATAATTGCATGGGAATATTGGCAAATGCAGCAACTGATTATGCAAAATATCATCTGTGTTGAAGTCCCCCTACCCCATCCCTTCCTAAACTCCATTACTAAACCTGTGGAAGTTTACTCGCATTTTGTCCACCTGTGGGCTGAGTGGGTTCATGGTGTGCTGGATGAAGAACTGGATGAAGAAGGGCAGGGTTTAGAGGGTTGCAGGGAATGGGGCTACATCTGGCTTGTGAGCAGCCACCAGCAGTGTTCCTCGGGGTTCAGTTCTAGGGCCAGTTCTGTTCAATATGTTATCAACAGTCTGGATGCAGGAGCTGAATGCACCATTAGCAAGTTGGTTGATCATACCGAACTGGGAGGTGCTGTTGACTCTTTTGAGGGATGAGAGGCCTTGCAGCAGGATCTAGATTGATTTGGAGCATTGGGTAGTCATGAACTTTAACAAGTGCAAGTGCTGGATTCTGCACCTGGGATGGGGTAATGCTGGGCACAAGTATAAATTGGGGGAGGAGTGGCTGGAGAGCAGCCCCGCAGAAAGGGCTCTGGGGGTGCTGGTTGGCAGCAGCTCAGTAGCAGTTGGCAGTGTGCCCCGGTAGCCAGGAGGGCAAACCACCTCCGGGGGAGCATCCAACACGGCAGAACCAGCCGGGCAAAAATGGCGTTCAGTGCTGGTGCGGCCTCACCCTGGATACCGTGTGCAGTTCTGGGCCCCATAATTTAAGAAGGATGTGAAGGTCCTTGAATGTCCGGAGGAGGACAGCAAAGCCGGTGAATAGGGCTGGAAGGCGTGTCCTGTGGGGAGTGGCTGAGGACTTTTGGTTTGTGTAGTTCAGAGAAAAGGAGGCTGAGGGGTGATCTCACTGCTCTCTACAGCTTCCTGAGGAGGGGAGGTGGAGAGGGAGGCACTGAGCTCTTCTCCCTGGTATCCATGGATAGGACATGTGGGAATGGTTCAAAGGTGCTCCAGGGAGGTTTAGACAGGACACTAGGAAGTATTTCTTTACCAAGAGGGTGCTCAAACACTGGGACAGGCTTCCAAGAGAGGTGGTTGATGCCCCAAGCCTGTCAGTGTTCAAGAGGCATTTGGACAATGCCCCTAATAATATGCTTTAACTTTTGGTCAGCCCTGAAGTGGTCAGGCAGTTGGACTAAATGTTTGTTGTAGGTCCCTTCCAAATGAAATGATCCCATCCCATCCCATCCCTGCTTTCTGTATAAAGCCAAGCTTTCCTCTGCTGTATTGGTTGTTTCTGAGAACTGCTTTTAGCTCATACATCTGTCCACCTTAGTTGTGCCAAAAGTTTTGCTATAGTGGAAGAAAGCTACATCAACCTGCTAGAAACACAGGCATTACCGAATGCTGAAAATTATGTTGTTTTGCATGTAATGCTGGAAGGTGACCTTTTAATTCCCTTTTGTCATTCCCATCAGTGTTTTAGGAAAAGATCACATAATTCTAGGATCTTGTCCTGTAGAAATAGAAATGAAAAAGTTCCTGTGCGTGACCTCAAGTAGTCACAGGGTGGCTGTCCCAAACAATTACCTGGGGATGGAAACCAGAAATTCTCTTTTTTGGGGGAACAAATTTCTCTTTTCTTCAAGGATTTGGAGTGGATTGATTCACTGAAGCAAATTGTGAAAGAGTAAATTCAAACATATTTTGCAGTTTAGATAAAAGTAGGTATTTTTCACTTACAGTGCCCTTATTTTTCTAAATGATGCTTTTGGTATTATACCAGGGATTTTGTGGAAAATATAGATCTCATTTGCTATTGCAGTCCATACGACCTGCATGCTATCAGTTTGGGCATAAGCGTAAGGTGTTCAGCAGCAACCAGCAAATATCCCTGTTCCACTAAATTGCTTTTTAGTGGTCTGTTTTGAATCCCACCTTGAAGGCCAATTGATTGCCTGGCTTTCCGTGTTGTTCCATGCATCATTCCCTAGGGAGAGCAAGAATATACAATGTGAATATCTCCTGTGGTTATGTTGTATCATATGAGATATATATAGATATATATATCTCTATATCTATCTATCTATCTATCTATCTATCTATCTATCTATCTATCTCATGTATCATATAGCATAGCGCTTGGGATCATTGTAAGCTTGGAAGGAGTGCTCTTCCAGTCTTTGTGGAAAATAGTGCAATATTTTGGCTTATGTTTGTGGCACCAGCAACTTGTTCCAGAGGAAGAGAAGAGGCAGTGAGCAGTATGGTAAAAGCTGCAGAAATATTCTTGTGCTGTTCATACATTTTCTAACACAGGTTGGGTTTGACATACCTCCTCCAAGAGAGCTCAGTGCTCCTGAGTGGAGTGAAACTTGCTGCAAGCCCAGCTGCCACAATGTGAATGCATGGTGTGTATGTGATAGGCTGTGTGCTGGGTGCTTCATGGGCAAACAGCAAAGTGCTCTTCTTTCCCACTGGAAATCTGCAAGCCAGCTCCTAGACAAGGCATCATGAGAAGAGGGAGTGTGGGAGCTCAGTGTAACTGGATTACAAGAAAAATGCTTCCTGTGCTTAGTCTAGTTGATGACTGAGCGGGAGGGGGCTATGCAGAAGTTCTAAGCTAGCCAGCCTGCAGTGAGCTCTCCCCTCTGGGTGGAAAGGGGGCTAGGGCCAGGCCAGGTGGTTGCTGCAGCATGTTCTACCTAATGATGCACCTTGCATTCTGTTTCCTTCTCAGCACTTGTTGTGGCTGTCCTGCGCTTCATTCAGCTGAAGCCCAAGGTGCTAAACCCTTGGCTGAATGTCAGCGGCCTGGTGGCGTTATGCTTGGCCTCTTTTGGGATGACCCTACTTGGCAACTTTCAGGTACTGGACTCCAGGCTTGGACCACTGTGTCTCTGCTGTCAGGTTCCTGCTTTTCTAGCAGATCTGCTTAGGTCTTTGAACGACCTGTGATGTGAGCTCAGGAGATAATGCATCTGGCTGTGCCCCTGCTCTGCCACCTCTATCTGCTGCTGACGTGGTTCTGGTGACAGGTTGAGGTGAAGGGCCTCAATAATTTTTCACATATTCCTAGCAGGATTTGCACCTGCATGCTTAAACTTGACCTGCCAAGAGACAGAGCCAAGAACCTATTGATTCTCTTGAGCCCCGGGCATTGGCACAGATGGTCCTGGGTAAAAGGACTGAGCTGGAAGTTTATGTACATGTCTGTGAGAACAGATTTAGCAGACAGTTCAGTGTCCTTCATTTAAAACACACATTGTTCAGATCTACCTCCTGCTTGTCCTCAGACTAGGCACAAAAGGGACGCAGCAGAGGAGTGCTACGACTTCTCCTGATATGACGGGTGCCTGGATGAGGTGCCTCCGATTCTCCTTCTGTTCTGCAACATTATACAAACAAACAACAAACTTTTGTCATTGTCACAACATTCCTCTGCAGGGTTGAGTGTCCACTCTGATCATGAGTGTGTCTGTTAGGTCTGCAGTGAAAATTAAGGCATCAGAGTCAGTGGTACTTGGGTTTTCCCATCCCTTTGCAGTTTCTGATGCTCTGTCTCTCACTGGGGTGCAAGTAATGACCCCCTATAATGTCAGGAACTGAGAAGGGTCACTGTAGGCTGGCTTCTTTCTTGGCTTTGTAGGCAAGGAGCTGCTTTTCCAGTATAGAAAAGGTACTTACTTTGTAAAGGGTGAGTGCCTGTTTGGGTTGTGGAGCAATTGCAGGAACATTATGTCCTTTACAGTTGGGGTTTCTGTTTTTGTTTTTTGTTTGTTTGTTTTGATATTTATTTTTTTTTTTTTTTATAATTAGGTATGAGATAATTTGACTGGTTTTGACCTGGTTTTCCTAACTCCACCACATAAGCAAAAATAATTTTTTTTGAGTCTTGTTTTTCATGAGAGCTTTCCAGCTAGGAACTATGAGGCTTTTGTAACAGCCTTGTCTAGGTGTGAGGAGAGTATTTCTAGTACAGGGCAGGCACTAGGAAGTAGTTTCAACCTCTCCTTCCTTTGCTCCTCAGAGCAAAAGCTTGTTATTTAAAGTGGATACTTTGAATCATGCCTGGTTATAAATTCTGAGCCAATTATCCACTCCTTGTTAGTTACTTGTATCCTTGCTTAGATATTTTGCCAAACCATGAAAGCATGGGGTAATGAGACCATGCTTTTCCCTGCTGCCTGCTAAACTGATGTGGCATTAAATCCTATTTCTGGAAAATTACAGATTAGCTGTATTAGAGGGACATTATGGCTGTGAGTCCCTTGCAGTGCAAGCTACCTTGAGAAAGGCAGCTCAATCCCATTTTTGCCTGTACTATGATTTGGACCTACCCTTGAAAAAAAAACTCAAGGTAGGGAGTGGAGAGGGGAGAGATCAGTGGAGACACAGTAACTAGACTGTTACCTTGTAGATAGAATCTTGTTTGATGGGAATTTCTTGTATCACTGAACAGGAATCACGGCTGCAGGGAGGAGTTACAGACTGCTGGTTTCTTTTCTAGAAAAGCCTCAGAGGCAGAGGAAAAGGGAAATTGTTTGACTTGTCCACGCTGGACTTTCTGGATGGATTTACAGCCTCAAGGTCTCTTTGCAGATTCTTGCTCATTGAACCTGGCTGCCCTTTTGCCTTGCAGTATTGCACAGTCCCTGAGCCCCATGAGACAGGGGAGCCCAGGGAGCAGAGAAGCACTTGCACTCCAGAGAGGGGTTTGTATTGCCTCAGACCTCGAGGATGGGCAGAAGAGGGAACAGGCAGTCAAGCTTTTTGGTGGGAGAAACTTGCCAAACCAGGAGCGTGTGTCTGTGTTTTGGCTAGTGCTAGCTCAGCGGAGGTGTCAGGGCTCTGGCAGCACTGCTCCATGAAGCTGGCACTGAAGCTTGCTTCCATTGCAGGGAGCTGTACAACACCCCAGCGGGTTGTCCTTGCCTGTCCTGGCCATCATATTGAGCCAGGGAAGGATTTATTTCTGAGCTCTGCGTTGGTGTGTCTTGTGAGGGAGGACAGTCCCCAAGCCACCTGCATTTTGCACTGTGCTTGGGCTTTGGGCACAAGATCTGCTTGTCTGTGACTGCTGTCACTTGTCTTGGTTATGTTACGTCTTACACCTCTGCCAGAAGAAATGATACAGCATTTCTGTCTCATACCCCAATGATTCCCACTCTCTTCTATCCCACCCCAGTAGCAATCCAAGATATTGCAGATAATTCCTGTTACATACAAACAATCACTGTTTTGTTTGTTCCTAGCTTTCCAATGATGAAGAGATCCACAATGTGGGCACATCACTGACCTTTGGGTTTGGGACCTTGGCATGCTGGATCCAGTCTGCCCTCACTCTCAAGATCAACCTGAAGAACGAGGGAAGGAAAGTTGGCATTCCACGAGTCACCCTGTCAGCCAGCATCACCCTCTGCGTGGTGCTCTGTATCCTTTTGTCCTGCTCCCTGGAAAGCCAGGTATCATCTATGTCTGACACTGCCTGCAGCAGGGAATGTTGGCTCTTTTCACATCTGTCCTAGGATCTCAAAGCATTTAGGAATGCAACTCAGCTTGTCTTCATGGCATGATCATATGATTGGCTCATTTTATGTTCTGCCAGGATGCACTGCTTCACAGATGGGCTCACATACTTCAGAAATGTTTCTAAAACTTCTCAGTGATATTCATAGTGGTTGCAATATTGAATAGTATCTGTGTGGTTTAATGACACCTCTGGTTACCTACACAGTAGCATTTAAGATTATGCAAAATATTGAGATAAAAAAATCTCAGGAGAACAAAAAAAAAAAAAAAACAAAGGAAGAAATCAGGTTTCTAAAGTTGAGGAGATTTCAATGTGTTTGTTGAAATGCTCCAGGGTGCTACATCCAGCTCTGCCTTTTAAGACAGTTTTTACAGTCAAGAGCTGAGGGGTCATGTGAACTTCGAGTAAGACTAGGTACTTTACAAATGGGATTTGGGCTGTGGTCACTCAGACTGGATGTCCATGGGGCTTTCTCCACCTTGTGCCTGTCAGCCCCACCCCAGCCTTTCTGTTCACACCAGCGCTCATGTTAGGGTGGCTCCATTCACTGCATGGTTGCATGAACATTAGTGCTGGGATAAGCAAGAAAGCAGGAATAATTGGTGAGGAGTAAACTAATTCCCCTCTTCGGGAAACAGCCTGTTCTTAAAACAATTCTTTAGTCACTTGGCTGGTTTTGAACATTTCAGCCAGTGTCCAGTGAAATAACAGATCTGAGATGTATTGTCAGTCCCCTCTTAAGCTTCCCTGGAAAAATTTGTAGCTGAGCACCACGCTTTGGTGTACACAATCCAGGAGTTTGCCCAGTTCTTGTGCTCCCCTCCTTGCTTTGCCCCTAGCCCGTAGCTCCTGCAGGGTGTGTCTGGGGCAGGGCTGCATGTGAGGAGCTGGGCACACTGGGCTCCTGCTGTGCTGCCACCTTTGGAGGTTTCTGCCAGTCTGGAAGGAGGAGCAGCCGGGTAAGCCAGGGTGTAGCTGCTCTTGTACCGACACGCTGGGTGCTCCCAGCCCAGCCTGCCCCAGCCGGCTGCTCGGCGCTGAAGGCCTTGGGCCCTCTGTGAAGGGGAGCAGGCTGAGGCAGAAGTCCCATTCCCTTCCACCGCCCCCCTCCCCAGCTTTGCAAAGGTTTGGGGCTGGCACCCCATCCCATGCAGCTTATGCATAACCCTTGCACTACAGGGAAAGTAGAAGATCCTTAAAGCCAGACATAGAATGCTGTCTGCTGAGTGAAGCTGTGGTTGCTTTCACTAAACCCAAAATTAAATGTCTCTGATTACCTGCTTTGTGTAGTTAAAGCATGGGAGAGGCTGCTTGTTTGTTGTGTTTTACCTGTGATCCTGCATTCATGGAGTGCAGAAGACATCCTCAAAGACAGGAGAGCCAGTAGGTTTAGAGGTGTGCACTGGGCTAGGGCAGGTCCCCAGCTTAGGAAGGTGCTCTCTGCTTTAGGGGAGTGGAGAACAGCTTTTATGGAGTACCCCAGCACAACCTGAGGCACAGCAGTGAGACCTCGATGCCAGGCAATATGCAGTCCAAGCACATGGGTACATGAGGCTGGAGGACAGTTTCCTGGCTCTGACAACATTCTTTTTCCTTTCAGTATAACATGCCATACTGCGTAGTCTGATGTTTCCAGATTTCACAGAAAGCCATGATTTTGCAGGTGATCTAAAAAGAATGAAAGATTGCACAGTGTAGGTTGAAAGGTGTTCCCGTTGCCTGTGGTGCAGAGATCTGATCCAGTTCCTGCTGGGAGGCTCCTTGGCAGGTGGGGGCCCACAGCCAGATCCCGAGCTTGCAGGCTCTGTCACAGGCTTGTCAGATGTTCAAGCAAGTTGCGGACTTCTCTGCACCTAAATCTTTCCCTCTGTATGTGTTTATCACCTGAACTGGGGTCAGGAAGCCCTGGTCTGTACAGGATACCTGACATCTCTGGCACTGGCATCATGTTCATGCTATCCTGATGATGGCTGGCTGGGTTGACTGTCATCCGGGTGACTTTGATAAGATTTTATTGTCTTCCCTGTTGGCTTTCTCTCATCCTGGTTGGTGTCTCTGCTCCAACTAGTTCTCCTTGACTTTCCTCTTCTAGATTTCATCCTCATGGCACAGGGCATTCACATGCATGCTTCCAGAATCCAGTGGGGCCTGGTCATGTGCTTCCTGTGCTACTTTGGCACCTTTGCAGTGGAGTTCAGGCACTACAGATTTGAGATCGTTTGTTCTGAGTACCAAGAAAACTTTCTGAGCTTTTCCGAAAGCTTATCGGAAGCTTCAGAGTACCAGACAGATCAGGTGTAGCTTGTCCTCTGGCAGGGGCAGGGGGGAGGGACAGGGAGGAAGGGGGCAGGTGTGGTCTCATGGGTTAAACATGACCTCATTTACACTTTTTTGATGAGTTTGTTTTCATGTGCAATCATCACCGTATTGCCAAAGGGCTCTGAAGGTGGCTGTCTCATTAAGAGCCAAACAAAAATAGCTGTCTGCTGGAAGAGGAGTGGATTGTTCTCAGCAGCAGCATGAGAGCACAAGCTGTTTAACTTGTGCTACCAGTGACCTCTTTCTGAGTGGCTCTGTCACACTCCCATTGTTCAAAACATTCAACAGCCAGTCCTCACCATGCCCCTTCGACACAGGCACTCCTCAGCCTGTTCTGCAGAGGAGGAGATGAAGAAATCAGAACTCTTCAGGCACCAAGAGTCTTCAGGAGGTTCCCGTGTCACCAGACTGCATCTTTTGTGTGCTACTTGTGTTGTTTCCTTTGCTGCCAACTGGTGGAACTTGATAGGGTGAGAAAGAGCATCTCTTTCTTCTGGACTTGGAATCGAGCCATGGAAGGCTCTAACTGACTGGGTTTTAGAGGAAATGCTGTGATCAGGAAGCAAGACTTTGCTGATGTTGCCTTGTGTCTGGGCAGCCTGTCCCCAGTTCAGAGGAGATGGCACGGTGCTGTGCTCAGCTTTGTGTTTCAGACTCAGTGGTAGGGACTGGTGGAAGAGAGGTGCTGCATGAGGATGGGAATGCCTGTGTGCTCTAAAGATGACCCAGGAAGGGCTGCTCTTCGATGTGTGTAGTGCTTCCACCACATATTGTGTGTAATATTTCAAAAGCTTTTTTCTTCACTGAGGGGGAAGATTGTGTTAGAGACATTGGGCTTGCCTGCAATGAGAACAGAACTGTTGCAGGTGGTTCTGGGCATAGGGTTTGGTTTTGTTCCTTTTGCACTTAGAAGCTAAACTTTAGACATGCTGACACTAGGCCTGAGCTCCAGATCCCTCAGTGTGGCTTGTCCTGAGCAGAGTGTGTTACAGGTTTAAGCAGCCTTCCAAGGTGTGGGGAGGTAGTTCAGCCCCAGAGGCTAGGTGATGTGGCCTAAGGGCTGGAGGTACAGGAAGGGAACAGCAAAACAAGAAGGGCTTGTCCTGCCTGATGAGAGGTTTCAAACAGGTCTGTTTTCAAAGAAAAAGCAGGAGCTGAAACCCCCTGTTTGAAAACCTGATTTTAGGAAGGCTGATGTATTGGCTGGGCGAGCAATGGGAGTTGCATCTCATGAACTTGGCTCCTGTTCTCCTCTATGGGTCAGGCTCAGCTTAGATCTGCATCTTGTTTGAGCTGCAGGAAAATAAACAGGAATGAAAATGGTGTCAAAAGGCATGGTGAAGGGGAACTTGTACTGCGCTGTGGCATTTCTGACAGAGGGAAAAGGCACGAGGGTATGGTATTTGGCCTTCTGTAAAGGTCAGAAGCCTCTCCTGAAAGGAGAAAAAGTTGAGGAAAAACTCCTGTCAAAACTAGTGTAAGTAGAAAGCTTTCAGCCAGCTATTTTATCTTCTCTGGGCCAGTATTTTTCTCAGGCAGCTGCTACAAACCCAGAGCATCTCCAGCCAACGGAGGGTTGTTGTTGAACTGCTGAATGCCTCCTTCTTTGTAGCTGTGTCATTAGTGGGAAGCTTTCCCAGAGGGATGTGATGTGGATGGCCCAACGGCACAGCAGCGTAAGGCTCAGGGCTCCCCAGCCGCCCCTCTGGAGAGCTCCTGGGTGAGGGCAGGAGGGGACAGTTGGGAGAAGATGCAGGTGGGAATCCTCTTACAGGGGCATGCATGCTCAGTGCATATGGAGCACAAAATAGCAACTTGTTTTAAGGGTGTTTTACTGTAAATAGTCCACTGTGACTTTTTTAAAATCAGTTAATACTTTCAGTTTATCATTTTATAGTTTGCAATTTTACGAAAGGGAAAAAAAAAGATGTTTGTGATTTTTTTTTTTTTTTTTTTTTTTTTCTCTTCCTATATGCAATCCAAACTGAACTTCAGGTTTTGGTGATAACTTTGTACATTTCTTAGAGTATTTCTAACAACACATTTCAGTACAACTAAGTGACAACTGATAAACACTGAAACATGACCACTAAATAAAGTGCTTTTATGGAGAAAGTGAGTTTTTATTTTTGTCCCCTACCCCATGCATAGCTTTCTGATGGCAAAAGCAAAACAAAAGGTGAGTATTTACAGTGTCATGATTAACACTTAAGGAAGCCAGGGACTATTCAGCCATGCAGATACACTTATTGTAACAGTGCAGGTTCTTTCTAGGATCAGACTCATTACACAGCTCAAAGGCATCCAGACTAGCTGCCTCACAGCCTTACCTGCTACCATCAAAGTTTTAGAAGGGCAGTGCTGGCATGATGTGGTATCCTCTCAAAATGCCTGTTTCTTCCTTCTTCTCTACACAGCAGCCTCCCTCATCAGGGACAGCTGTAGATCAGAGCTCAGGAAGGCAACATGTGCTTTAGTATTCTATGTTGGCCGGCCGTGAGGGCAGGCTCAAGCACAGCCACGCAGAAATGCTTAAGGAGCAAGTGACACTCATGCATGAAGGCAGGGAACTGGGGTTTCAAACTGCCTCTGCCTCCACTATTACTAGGTATAACCTAGCTGTGGCTCTCACCTCTACTGAAATTGTAAGACGGTCAGGGAGGTAATACAGCTTCCTTGGCAGGACAGGGTTGTCTGCCTTAAAGAAAGGATGGGGCAGGGCAAAAGCAGGAAAATAAAGTATTCACAGGTTCAAAAAAAAGACATTTGCCTTTAGATGCTGGGATCACTGGTGACAGACAGGAAAGCTAAATAGTGGGATGGAGTGAACACATGAAAGCAAAGTTGTGTTTTTATTTACTACATTAGGAAAAGTCCCATGACCTCCGATAGAAATTGGCACAATTTAGGAAGGGTGGGTGAAAAGGTCAGGGTTTTAATTCTCCTTAAATGCAGTAGGATGTGTCTCTCAGGAGCAGTTGTTGGTCAGGGTTTGCTCACAGCTGACCAGTGCTACGAACGTGTGACAGGGTGACTGATGTTGGCTACCGAGAAGGAGCTCCATGGGTTAGTGCTATAGGAGATACTTCAGAAATGCAGTCAAGCTGACTTTGGTGATCAGTCATTTGGATCCCATAGCCCAGCACCACAATGCAGCAGTGAGGTGGGTCTAGAATGTAATTTTTAAAGCTATATTTATATATATTCTACTTCATTGTGGTAGGCTGGCTGTGTAGCTCTAAGCAGCTTCCATCTGCAAGTTGTACTGTTTGGTACCTACACCTGCTGTGGATACAGCCAAGATTTCAGTTGTTCCTGGTCTAAAGAGCTTGCCTGCAGCAAGGGCTGGATTTTTCTGTGGCAGTCCAAACCTACTGTATTATAGCCCACATCCAGCATTTTCCTGAGGGCATCCTAACTCCTCTAACTTCAAAAGTTTTGACTTAGCCAGCAACCTTGTCTGCATTAAGAAGCTCATATCCCCTAATGGTCCCTGGAGGACCCTCTGGGACAGGGGGACATCATACACCTTGTTTTCAGACTGTTTCTAAAAATGATGGAGCTGGTGGTGGAACGTCTCAGCCCCAGATTTCAGTGGGTGTGTCTGAAGGAAGTACCCCCTGAGCTAATTGCTAGCTGGGAAAGGGGAGGAACAGCAGGTCTTACAGGTGCTGCTCCTCATGCTGTTCCCAGCTCCAGATAGCTGCTGCAGGCCTCTGTCCTACTGCACGAGGGACCCTACACCACATGCTCCATCCATACCTGCCTGCACTAGTCACGGGTCCAAGACATGATGTGGGTTTGGTTTTCAATTCTGATTATGGACAAAGTTACCTAATGTTACACAAGGACAATTCAGATGAAGCACAGTCTTTCGTGCATGCACCACTTTCCCTAAGTGGAGGAAGGCAGGAAAAGTTCGGTGAAAGATGAGATGAGGCTGTAATATGATTTCTCATCATCTGTCAGTCCTGCGTTGCCTGGTCTGATCACCACAGCCACATGAGTGTCTGCCTCCTCGGCTGCGTTGGCTTCTGAAACAGAGGCAGGGAGAAAGGCGATGAGATCTGATAATTGACCTCCCCACATGAGGATATTTATGGCTTGAAGGTTCCCCAAAACACTGAAGTGCTTTTAAATGTTGAGACTGAGAGAGCAGTGTAGGGCTCTAGAGGAACTAGCTCCTGGCAGACTGGCTGTGGATGACTGTAGCTGCCACGCGACGTGCGTGGATGGGAGCTGGCTGCCTTGCCATCTCCTCCCCCATCCCAGCTGATGGCTGTCCGAGGTGCTGCGCAGGCAGCACGCACTGGCAGCTTAATTCCTGCCACGAAAAAAGCTCGGCTGTGGTCCGACTGTGGCATTAGCGAGTCCAACACCCCCTGCCAGGAGTCTCTTCTCACAAGCTTCCTTCACTCCCCAAGCACAGCAGGAGGCCACAGGAAGATGACCCAGGGAAAACTGCAAGTTCCCACCAGCTCTTCTGCCAGGGCTGGGGAGGAGGTAAGGGCTAACTCCTGGGAACTGAGCTGGCTTAGACTGAGATCACAACCCAGTGTCATTTCTGCCAGAAAGATGTTCTCAGCAATGGCAGGAAATTAAATTAGCTTCCTGAGCCTGGCTTTCCAGGGGTTAAGTCCTGGTGATCAGGAGTGATGTTTTCCTGCTGCTAAACACAACCTAAGAGTAAGTGGCACAAAGAACCAGCCACCGCGTGTGCACAGCAGACATTGTCTGTTCCCCTGAACACAGGTCACAAAACCCACTGACCCTGTTTGTAAATGGGGCATGCCAACCGCTTCAGCAAATGCTCCACTCTGCTTTAACAGTCTCCTTGCTTGCTGGTGCAAGGGCAGGTTTTCTACTTGACCTACTTTCCCCCATGGCAGCACTGCTCACAGATATCCCACAGCTGTGTGAGAGCCTAGATGTGTAGGGAAGGAGAGTGGCAGCAGTTAGGGGGATGCCACTGAAGCAAGGTGATCTGCAGCATTTCTGGGTGCTTGTGACAAGTCAGCAGCATGTGTTTAAAGAGCACAGATGAGAGCCAGCAGGACTGGCAGGCCACCTACCTCGAGGGACATCCGTCAGGAAGAGGATGTTGGTGGTGGTGCACCCAATACTGGCAGCAATCCTTCTGTAGCTCTCACTTTCTACCTTGGGGCCTATTTTGGTATCAAAGTGGCCATCAAAGAGCTGAAAGAGAGAGAAAAGCAAAGGCAGTGCTCAGTGCCACCTGAAGAGCAGGGCTAAACTTCACTCCCACGCAAGACATCCCCTTTCCTTTCTCCCACAGTAATGGGGAGCTGATGCAGCCATGCTAGCATACTCTACTGGCTAAGCTTAACTCCCGTGGGCCAAACCCACTGCCCCACCTTCCTGTCCTAATGCTATTCACGACGCATTACGGCAAGGGCAGTTGTGGGAGGGAAGTGCTCTGCAGAGGGAGGAGCTGTAAGGAAGGTGATAAGGTTATCTACCTCTAGGATATCACCTTCTGTAGAATATCCAAACAGAAGCTTCTGGGCTTCAATGCTGCCTGAGGAGTAGATATAGACCTTCATCCCCGCTTCCCGCCACTTCCGGATGGCTGGAACCACGTCCTCGAAGATTCTGGAGCAAAACAGGGCAGCAGGTAAGGGCACAGCCAGAGGCACCTGAGCCAGGACACCTTTAGCCAGGCACTGTGACAACTGTCCCATTAGTTTTCAAGAGGACTTCATTCTCAATCTGCTCAGGACTTCTGCAGCCGGGGAGTCTATTTCAGCAGTGGGCGATATGTTCTTAGCTCCAGTCAACTGAGCAGCTCATTGACTGCTATGCAGTCATTGACAGCAGCTCTAATGAGTTGTCTCAGACACTTGGCAGGAATCACAGAATCATCTCAGTTGGAAAAGACCTTGAAGATCCTCCAGTCCAACCACTAACCTCACACTGACCATTCTCCACCAGATCCCTCAGTGCGACATTTCTCCAGGAGCTTCTCCAGCCCCATCAATTTGGAGATGGGAGGAAAGGTTAGGGAAGATGGCATCCTGCCACTTTTCTAGAAGAGATGGAAGAATGAGGGGAGCACAGGCTCTTGCATCCTGAGCCCCCTCCATCTTGCAAGCTACTAAGGTTCCCCTGTTGCTAAGAGCTACAGCTGTGAGCTGCATCCATATGGGGCAAACCCATCCCACAGGCTCAGGCTCTGACTATGTGTAGGGAGGAGCTGAGAGGAGGCTGTAGCCCGCAGCACTGTACAAACTGTTTATTAGACTGGCTCTTAGGAAGTATTTCTTTGCAGAAGGGGCTGTTGGGCGTTGGAATGGGCTGCCCAGGGCAGGGGGGGAGTCCCCATCCCTGGAGGGGTTGAAGAGTCGGGGTGACCTCATGCTGAGGGATCTGGTGGAGTTGGGAAGGGTCAGGGTGAGGTTCATGGTTGGACTGGAGGAGCTTCAAGGGCTTTTCCAACCGAGATGATTCTGTAATTCTGTGTTTGAAGCCAGACAACTACTTGGGAAGGGAGTGTCCCCTAAGGGACTGAGGTCAGAGCTGCTCTATTCAGTGACTTGGTCAGGTTGTACAGTACTACCCATAGGCCAGATGTGTCCCTGGCTTAACTGCACTGCAAAGGGTGAACCAGTTCCTGTTCACTAGGCAGCAGCATCTCTCCCCTTATTCTTCCAGCCTTGAAGAGTGCTGCAAAGACAAGATACCAGTCTAGCAACGAGCTGACAAGTCTCAAAATGTGAGCTCCATCTAACTCCTGGGTAGTAGCTGCATAAAGACAAGCCCAGCAGCAGGGAGTAAAGCTGTGAGAGAGGGAAGGAAGACCAAAGTCAAGGCAACTGCTGCGTAACTGCTAACGGACATGTCTGTCAGTTCCCTCAAAGCCTTCTCATTTGTACCACATGACCTCTCCAGTGCTGCACTTAGATGTATGTAAAAGCTCTTTGTATGCAAAGGACATTTACAAGATTACCCATGTAGTGGGGGAAACTGAAGGCTGGAGGATGCTTAAGAGGGACAAAGTGAGGCTGACAATAAGTTCCTCAGTAATACATGTGATGGTTGATAAGGAAAGGCCACAAACAGTCTCAGAAGGGCAGGGAGAGGATTTGAGTTTGATATAGCAGGAGGATGGAGAGAGGAGCTGGAGGAGACGTGATCCTCAGGGAACCAAGTTTTCACCCCAGTCCAAACTGCAGCCTTCCCACCTGCACTGCACAGCTCTGTGTGGCCATGTGGGCCAAGGCCCAGAGGTACTGCCCTGAAAAGAGGATCTGAGCCCCCAAACACCTGAAGAAAGATGACTCCAAATAGATGCAAAAGGAGGTGTTGGACTCAATTTTGCAGACTTGTAGCCATCAGTTGGCCCTTTCTTCATCCCCAGCTTCTTGGCCATCTGCTCAGGGCCTTGTTATGTATTTAAAAAAAAAAATCACTTTTTTTTCATGGTTACTTATTAAATTTCTCTGGTGTCAGATGAAAATATTTTGAGGTTGTACAGCACTTGCAGAAACTCCCAGCCACCCCCATGTTTTCACATGCTGAGTTCAATGCCTGGATTTGGGCAAGGGGTTGACCTTGAAGATCTCACTCCTTGAATGCTGCCCAGCAGCAAGGCTAGCTCTACAGTTTTTGGGCCACTGTTAGACAATTAGGGCCACTGTTTGTAAAAAGAAAATCAACACGATGGCTGTCCCTCTTGATTTGCTTTTGTTGCTTTCTCTGGTGGATGTTTACATTCTTCTGTGAGTTCTTTTTCTTCTTCCTCATTCTTCCTTTGGCAAAACACTTTGTGAACTTAGGGTTTGGTTTAGTTCCTTAGAAACTTGAAATGCATAGTTTAACCAAGTATCTCTTGACCTAAATAAGAAAATCAGGCTTAATTCCAGTCGTTCCTATTTATGCACACTTGCACTGAAGCTGAAGAGAAGCCTGAAGACAAAAAGAAGTAGAAAGGCAGGAAACGCTCAGGTAAAGAGACAACAGAGGAGGAAACAACTGAAAGGGCCTGACCCTGCCACCCCGACTTGTTTAGGCTTGTTCTAAAACCTGAGTGCAATTCAGGGATAAAATATGCAAAATGGAGAACTGTAAGAAGTTCGTATTTCTGCCTCAATCTCTTGGTTTAGCAAGAAATCTCTATAGAGAAATACTGAGACATTTTCTGAATTTTTAATGTAGAAGATAGTTGTCCCAGATGAATGTTCTACCAGTTGTGGGAGCAGAACTGCCCTGTGCGACACCTCCATTACCTCATTCTGTTTCTCAGACCTCATCTCCTTTACGGACTCTGTCCAGGTGGCCAGAGAACTGGCTGTTCCCTAGCATGTACCTGCCCATTATTCCTTAAGGTGAAACACTCTCACCCACTTGTCATCTTCCCAGTGGGGACTGAGACAACTTGGTCAGTCCCAAGTTTACTGTAAGCTTTTGGGTCCCCAGATTCAAAGATTAAGCTCAATGGAGTTGTCTTTCATTGCATGATCAAGTTTGAAATGAAGTGTCTGCCATTGGTTCCACGACAGCAGCGGCCTGTCTTAAGCCATGAATGAACGTAAATATATTGTCTTCTCCACCAAGGTAGTAATCCTATTTGCACTTGTACATGGGGCTGTTTCCAGGAATAGCTTATGCAGCTAATCTGCTAACAGAAGTCGAGGAAAGATGCACCCCATACCCACCCCAGGGAAAGGGGCACCCAATTACTCACACCCCCAATTACTCACTCTCCTTTAATGTGTCCAGTTGCATAGGCTGCCCTCCACATGTGGCCCTGCAGCTGCTTCAGTGCCGTGGTCTTCCTGTCCAAAGACATCTGCCAGTGCACGTTGTCTACAACAGCCTGGATGACCTGCTCCAGCTCCTCTTCCCCGCTGCCGCTCTCCAAAGGGATTGGCACAACCCCATCCAAGCTCGAGTCCTCCTGAGCCTGGGAATCACCCATGATAAAGAGGTGAGGGAAGAAGTGGAGCAATCTCAACGTCTCAGTTTAGGAAAGGGATCTAACACCTGCATCCACACACCTCTGTGCAAGACACAGCTTGAACTGCTCTTGACATGAAGGGTTACAACACTGAATGCTTTTCTCAATGGGAAATTCAGACTTCAGTAGTGCCTAAAAACACTTGCTTGGATTGTACTTTCCAAACCCAACAATTAGCTGTATTGTAGCTGTATTGTAAATACTCTAATAAGAACTATACTTGCTTAAGTATTTATTGAAATTAAGGCAAGGAAGCAAATGCATCTGTTGGCTTCAGACAACCACAGGTCTCAAATTGATGCTGTGTCCCTGTACGGAGGCAGAATACACTGCCCTGTGCAGGACAAGTACTTTGCCACCCCTCTGTGCTGCTTCCCAAACAGACACCTGGAAGCCAGAGGTGGCACATTCAGGAAGAGAAGGGCACAGTGCAGGCACAAAGCTGGAAAGCCATGGTTCAACACCTGCTCAGAGGCCATGAAGACAAGGCAAGCTGAGGGAAGCAGCTGAGCTGCTGCCTACCAAACACCAGCCCTTCCTGAGCACAACCCCAGGCTTCTGCCCATCAAGACAACCAGCCTTTGTGGGGGACAAAGAGAGGTATGGGCTCATGTTGGGTGACTGGGGGAGTCCCAGTGACCTAAAGTCTCTGGCATGCCGTGAAAACCCAGAGAGACACAGTGTAGCTCCATTACTTAACCTGTTTCCTCAGGAGCCCGACGTCCCGCTGGCACTCCTCCTCCTCCCAGTGAGCACGCAGATAGTCCTTCACGTTGTCTTTGATGTAAGGGAACAAGGTCTCCTGGCAGCACACAAGAAAAACAGGCAGATCCTTGAACCTGGCAGAGGTAAGGCTGATTTGTTTTTAAATCAGCTGTGTGTACAGTTATTTTCCCAGCTCCAGCTTTCCCTACAGTACTGCAGCTTGTGAAACTGCCTGCCAAGGGTGGGCTGCCTGGTCGCAGGCCAGAGCCAACCTTGGGCCAAGACTAGTGCAGGTGGATTTTTTGCACAAATGCTTATGTAGCTGCAACTTTTAAATCCCAGGATGGCAAGGTGGGTGATAACTTCTGTGCTTGCCAAAAAATATCCCACAGGCATATACGACCCCAAATTCCCATCAGCTGAGTATGAGGCTGACTGTATGTACTGTGAACTGACACGTTATACTACTCTATTTTTAATGGGGCTCTTGTCCTAATGAAGGTTGTTCTGAAAACACATCTCAACTTCTCACCAGAGCTAGAAGACTTTTTTTAAAAAGAAAAGTCTAGTCCAGTGACACTGAGCTCCATAGGACAGTCTTGCAAATGAAATGAAACAGTTAGGGAAAAGTGCCACAGGAGAATTACAAACCTTCCCAGAGATCCCAAGGGCAACCATAAATAATTACAAATTGCTCTCATCAGTGGAACTTTGCAACTGAGAAGCCACAAGCAGCCACTGCGACAGCATCTCTGGGTGCAGGAAGAGCCTCAGGACAAGGGGAGGGCAGGGAACTTCTTTCTTCAGGTAGAGAACTGAGCTTTTCTTAATGGGGAAAAATTTGGGATGGGGAGGAGATGGGAGGAAACCAGCTTGAGCTCATCTCTCCTCAAAAAACGGCCAGTGATATTTTTCTCCTCACTGTATGTCACCTTTAACTTGCGACTGAATTAAGAAAATTATGGCCCTGAGAGCATAATGTGGCATCAGAACTGCAGGATTTTCTACTGCTCCAATATAGCGTTTTCCATGTTGCATATTTTAAAAACAGTGTACATTTAGGGAAAGGAAAATCTCTTACACAAGTAGAAAATTACCACAAACTTGTCTAGGAAAATCAACAGCCTTGTAATACCCCCAGCTACTCTCTCTTCTTGTTTATTTGAGCTTAGCTGCTCTTAAACTATCTTTTAAATCATGGAGGAAATTAATGAGTATCCACTGGGAAATGCAACTGACCTGCTGACTTGGTTTAACTTCCCTTACGACTCAGATGTCAAAAGGTCTTAATTGCTTTCCAAAAGCAGTGCTTGCAAAGAAAAACTTCCAAACAGGCTCCAAAAGCGTGGTGTGTTCAGTGATTCAGTGGGTTTTAAAAGGGTAGAAGCCTTGGCCCACTGGCAAAAGCATCCATCTGTGATTCAAGAGGGGACACCCATGTGACAGCTGGAATGATGGACAGTTTATGGATATCAGAAGCGATCCCAGGCAATGATGCATAAGTTTAAAAAGCCATGAGACTCTTTGCATCCTGAAAGAAAATACCTCCATCTCCAAGACTCTGGCTTTCAACAAAAGCTGGTGGCTGCAAACTATTGAAGAGGTTCAACTGGGGCTGTTACTGACCTTTTTAATTTCACCCGCTTCTCTTTTATCTTGGCTAGCAGGAGACCTGAGCCTGCCTGCACGCAGCTCCCATCGCTCTGTCCATCTCCCGCGCATGCTGGGGAGGTGAGCGCTATCGTAGCCAGGCTCCTTGGCCATGTCCAGCCCCAGACGCGGCTGCCCCCACGCAGCTTGGCATGATGGAGAAACAGCCATCAGCAAACACAGTTTGACAGCCCTCCTAAGCCTTTGCAACCACTCACAGCAGTGTTAAACCCAGTACAGAAAGGACAGTATTTTTACTGTCAGTAGACACTCACGTAGCATGCTGTAATTAGCGCTTGTAGGATTTCGAGCAACCAGGGTTAATTTTCCTCTCAATGTCCATGCAAGCTGTCACACAGTTCAGTGACAATCTGCTCTTTTACAAATCTGATAAATCCCAGCGGATGTAGTTTATCAAATTACATCTCTCCCCTGCCATCTACTCTTCTCTGCCAGGGTGGACTCAGCAAAAGAGAAAACTTGGTGACCTCTAACTAAGGGCTGCCAAATATTCTCTTTGCTGGTATCTTTCCTTAATCCACCCATCAACTGTCTCATACTATTTCCTTACTTTGTGTATTCAATAATTCTAATACTAAAGAAAGGATTAAATAAAATCCTTCAATATTAAAGAATAAAATGCCTGCAAAACCAGCAGTGGACCTTTTAAAGGGAGATAGAAATTATGGAGGTTAAGTGGAAGTCCAAGTTTCCAGCAAACTTTGAATTGAAAACCGTAACTCATTTGGCTTTCTTGCAACAGAAAGAATTTGGGTAGGAAATCATCTCAGGTGTATTGCATGGTATTCACACAACAGCAAAATGGATTCAAGGTGGATGTAGCCAACTTCATTGCTCTGTTAGATGTTAGTAAAAAGTCTATTTAAATTGAAAGATATCGAGGTGAGGGATGCAGCTGTAATGTCATCCAGACCTGATGTTTCTTCAAGAGCACTGGAAGAACAGCAACAGGAAAGATGTAGGTCATGTTCATCTGTTAAACTGTGTTAGCAGAAACACCTAGAAAGTCTGACAAGAGCCTTCATTCACCCCTCCATGCACTGTGTGGGTCACAAAGCACCTTTGTAAACTACCAGCAAAAAAGGTCCACCAAATCCTATAATGTCTCATGGAGAAATAAGGCTAATGGCAGAAGCAGGGATAATTCCATTTGGTGTTTTAAATACAAGAAAATTGCTCCCTCCTGTGAGGACACAAGCTTGGTTAGGGACCAAAACCTCTCAGAGAGGAGGGCCCTGAAAATTTTAATAGCATATTTATGGTGTTTGTCCCGATGCCTCCTACTGTCCTCCCAGACTTCCCAGTCCCCTGGCTTCTGCACCTAAAACAACATTTTCAATAGCCTTAAGCCTACTCCTAGGCAAGGGAAGCCACTTGTATTTGCTGTTAGTACAGTCTTCCTCATGTACACTTGACACCATCTCTGTGCTGTCCTTCCCCTGGACTGGTCCTGTGCATGCTGGAGGAAGGATACACAGAACCATCTCTGATGGAAAAGCCCTTGAAGCTCCTCCAGTCCAACCATGAACCTCCCCCTGACGGTTCCCAACTCCAACAGATCCCTCAGCACTGGGTCACCCCGACTCTTCAACCCCTCCAGGGATGGGGACACCCCCCTGCCCTGGGCAGCCTATTCCAACGCCCAACAACCCCTTCTGCAAAGAAATCCTTCCTAAGAGCCAGTCTAAAACGTACACTACAGCTCTGGTGACACTGGAAGCATCTGACTGTACCACCCTTTTGAAGGGAAAAGGCAGCGGGCAACCCCAAGTCAGGCTCTCTGCAAATTCGGGTGGGGTGCTGCAGCTCCAGCCATCTGAGCATCACTGACGCTTGAGGGCTTTTCCTAAATGAGGCTTCAACTGCCCCATATTCATGAAAAAAATCATTTACTGAACTGCCCTTGATCTCAATAATTCCCTGTTCTCCTGTCCACAAAAGAGGCAGGCGATCGGTAAAACGAGGCGTGTTTTGTCGTGAGCATTATTCAGAAAAAAACCCAAAACAAAACCAAAAAACACCCAAACAGAAAACGTGTCACGGTTTTACGGTTCTGGAGGAAACTCAGGCCTGCCCTCGGTAAGGCTGCAGCCCTGGGAAAGGCTCGTCACCGTCTGCCGGCTGCTCGGGCTGGGGCGGGATCACGGTAATAACGGCGATGCTAACGGACATG